ATATATCTTTGACGATCTCAATGACCATTAGTGATTATCTTATCAGTGCATTAAGAGTTCAGAGACACTATCTACTGGCGTAGAGTTTCAGAAACACTACCACATCTCTGGATTGCACAATGGTGAGATGCAAATGAAACAGTTATACAGTACAATACACTACGTACATTGGTCCTCTATGATATTAAAAATTGAAGTTACCGAATTTACATCGAATTTAGTCTATAAAGAAATTTTCTCTATAAAGAAATAACTGCCATAAAAATCTCTGATTGATGTAATTTTTCATAGCATCCTTATGGATCATTTTTTTTATTGTGATTGAGAATTGTGATGTCAAGATTCTGTTTATAAAATGTGTAAACTTGTAACTCTAGATTACATCCTATTAATATTTGTATTTTACATTTAGCGCTAAATATATGTCTGATTCTCAGAATTATTCTTAGAATTCTGATAAGGAGATTATGGATAATACTGGACAATCATTGCATCAAATTATCTCAGATAATCTCGCAATCAGACTGCCACATATAGCGCTTCGAATGCAAATAAAGACTTTATATTCTAGTAAATAAAATTTTTCGAGATTATTCGTATAGAAATTATATACATCTATTATATATATATCTAATAGGAATTTGTGTGTGCGTGCGTGCGTGTTGTGTGTGTGTGTGTTTGTGTGTGTATGTGTGTGTGTGCGTGCGCGCGCGCGCGCGCGCGCGCGTGTGTGTGTGTGTGTATAAAATTTCGAACTTATTTTTGTCCATTATTTCAAGGCATTTGTAACCTAATGTTCATAGAAATATTTTTCTTTTTTATCCAGAACATGCTTATGAAATTTTTAAATATACTCATGATTCACTTTATGTACATATTACACGCATATATTGGTGTGTGCATATATACATATATACACACACAGCAATTTAAAGATTAAAAAAAAGAAATATGTAAACATCATGACTTAACATGTACATATTTAGATTTAAATAAAAATTTATATTCTAGATTGATGTTGTAAAGATTTTATATGATAGATTATTTATCATCGTTTTTTAAATATATTCATATATCCATTTGAATTAATTTATTTTTTATGTAATAATCATCTTTTCATACATATAAATAATGTTCAATGGATATTAAATTAATAAAAAATTTTGTATATAATTGTAATATGTAAAATGTAAATAATAAAAACAGGATAAGGAAACTTCTTGGAGATTGTATTATATGTTTATTAAGATTCGTAAGATATATGTACTCATGAATATTATTATTTATACATTCACAAAACATACATAATTTAAAACTCTCACCGAATTAAATTTATTTGAAAGAATACTTGACAGAATGAATGTATTGAAAATATTGAAATATAAGAGAGATCAGATCATGTTGGAAATAATTTGAGAATAAAATGAATAAATAAAACATGAATATATAAGTTTCTATTTCATGAATTTATCTATAATATAATAAAGATATTCCGTCTCAATATATAAAAATGACAGGGAATCCATCTTGGAGATATTCAGTAAGCATTAATATGTTCTTTTTTGTGACAACTGTTACGATTTATTTATTTTCCTATTACACGTTAAATCACTTTATAGTCAACGATCACATTTTCAAAATAATTTATCCTTTTATGGTAGTATCCCCTTGACGATTGTTATTCTCAGCGTTCACGGGCAGCTTTGTTGGATTTGTTTGGTTCTCATTGAAAACCAAAAGCAGAGGTAAACCCCCTATGACCATACACGTACCCATACACAAAAAACATACAGTGTAGCTTCCAGTTACATCGCGAAGATAACCTGGAATAATATCAATTATTATCAATATAATCAATATAATATATAGCAATCAAAATCAATAAGAATTCATTAGAAGTATGTAATTATATTGCTAGAAAGAACAAAACGAATTGCATGTAAATAAATAAATACATCAATTTAAGTATATGCGTGTAAATTCAAGTACGCTTTAGAAATATTCTCGTAAATATTTTAATGTGTGCAATCCATTTTTTTTTATAAAACTTATAAATTGTAATTTATCATCGTATTTGTTTCGCTATTTATTTTTATTTATGAAATTCAGAATTTGCGAAAATATTATCTATCATATGTAACATCTTCTTAACATTACATAATAATTATAATCCTTTATATAACTCAAACACTATTAATGACTTGACATTTTCTCTAAAGAAAAATCGATTTCAAATTAGTGATGGTTGCAGTATTTTATTATTCTATTTTATCTATTTTATAAAATCATCTGAGCAATTAATTTGTAACCATAACGTACAAGTTTATCAAGATAAAAAATATATCAACATAGAATTAACATAATTTAAATAAAAATCTGGACAAATACATAAAAAAACAAATTGAAAAAACGTAAATAATAATCTCCAAAGATAATAATATCAAAACAATTAAAAAAGGCGATTATGAACGTCATTCAAAAGATGTATAATTATTCATAAAAATTATTAGATATTCCTTGACAAAAAAAAACTCAATTTTTATCCTGTATTGCACACATCGATCGCTATTTACTTATTAGAAAAAAATAATCCTGCAAGAGAGACCAGCGATGGTTGAAACAAAGAACAACCCTGGCAATATATTATGTATACGTGTGAGCGCGTACAGATTTTATATTTTTATCTCCGCACTCTTAGACGTAATTATGCGGATATAATTAATGCAATATATAGTGCAATACGTGGCTCAATATTTTCTCTATTGTCTCTGGAGTGAGTCGCACGCGTGTACTTTTCTATAGTCACACATTCACAAAAAAGTCGATCAAATTAAAGGGAAGACAAGAAAAAGGGAATCAGCTCGATCTGAATTAAAGAGCATTTGCTGCCTTTGAGAAATGCAGCGTTTGAGAGATTGCAGCGTACGGTTTCGGAGCAAGAAAGTGAACGTGGTTACCTGCGAGAGGTGGAATGGAAATCGCTCCAAAGCTCTGGAACATCCTCACGAGACCGTAGCTGGACGATATTTTGTCGGTGCCGTATTGATCGGCGAGCAGGACGGGAACTAGGAGGAACCAACAGCCTAGGCACAACCCGTACATGCCAACGGAACACGCCAGCACATAAAAGGAGTGAGCCATCGGAATTGCCAAGACCGCCACGCCAGCACCGACCACGCTACTCAATGGAAAAAAGATTTAATAATTCAATAGTTGCTATATACTTTCGTTTCATCGTCTCTGAAAGCATCCACCTGAAGATATTGAAAGCGAATATTATATTGAGATAACTAATTGTTCATTCATTAAATATCTAAACCGATGATATTCCAGAATATCTCTCAGGATCCTAAAATATCTCCTTAAATTGCAGTCTCTAAGTATCGCGCGTGAAGCGAATAGAAGCGATTCATAAATATTTTCTGGAGTCGATTTTCATAATTTATTTATCATCAAGAATACAGATGTAATTATAAGTTTTAATGATAATTAACTGTGTCTCTTTTTCTCCATCTAACGCGTCTCGGTTATCTTACGATTAATACGAATTGAATTCTGAAATCTTGTAGAGCTCGAGATGTGTGTTATACGAGAGAATGCATACGAGAGAACGCTCACCTGCCAATATATCCTTTCCGCCGATCGAACAGCTTGAGATCCGAGAGCCAGCCAAGACCGAGTCTGCCGCACAAATCGAGCACGGCGGAGATGGCCACTAGATAGCCGGCTTCCGATTTCGTGTATCCAGCGGCGTGGACGTACGCCGGTAGATAGTACAGCATGTACGGGCTACCAGTGGACATCAAGCTGACGGAGAAGCACATCATGATGAATTGCGGATTCTTCAGCAGCGATAAGTCGAGATAGCGCGTCAATCTCTGCATGAACGTGATCTTAGATTCCGTCGACGATGTCAGCGACAAGGACGGAATCCTGTTCGGCGGCGATGGAGGCGGCTGTTGCTGTTGTTGCTCCGGCGGCCCCATCGCTGTCACAGACGACTTTAATGATCTGAGCGACGATCTGGCGGCCTTGTACACGCATGTCGAGTCCGTAGACAGATCTTCCACGCTGTGCAGGATACTGGAGCTACGAATCTTGGAAATAGGCTTCATGCGGAGACCCTCGCCCATCACATCCTTCTCCTCGTCACTGTCTGTCAGCTCGACTGCCACCACGCCGCTGTTCTGGTGGAACAATTCATTCAGCATGTTGTGTCGGGCAGTTGGATCATTGGCAAACAATAATTCCAATTTTTGTTGCTTTGATTTGTCCTGATCCTAGAGATATAGTAAGAAAGACAGCCGATGAATATTACTATTAAATTGTTATTGAATCTTTACAGCCGATATTGCTTAATTATTGTTACACGGAGAGTATATCTGTTTAAACAGAATGAGTCGTTTGCAATATTTTATAAAGAAAATATATTTAATTACATATTTTATAAATAAATAAAATAATTTGCATGTATACATATATAAATATTAATATTAATATTAATAGTAAATATATATATATATATAACATATATCAGTTGAGCATTCGATTGTATACCTGATCTTTCAGTTCCTTCTCGATCTTCTCCACTGAGACGTCTTCCTCAGGAGCATAATTTTCATCCAGTGGTCGGTACAATGTCGCACTGACACATACGTGCAGCATGCAACCGCCTAATAGCAATATTGTGCCGTGAAAGCCGAAGTCTTTCACCAGAAATTCAATCAGAAGCGGGAATACGAAGCTACCCGCGGCAGTGCCGGACACGCAGATCCCATTTGCCAAAGCGCGGTGTTTGTCGAAGTACTGCGATACCAGGATTATACCTGGAGTCGTCGATAAGCCACCGCCAATACCTGCAAAGACACTTTTAACTTTGCTTCTTCAGTAAAATGCGATATTGGAACTGCCCGGCGATGCGAAAGACGTAACGTGTAAGATATATATATGAAGGACTGATATGGAAGAATCAGGTCACAAGATTGAAATTCAAATTTTACAAACCTGTCAGCACTCCAAATGTAAAAAAGAGGTGTATTAATCGCGTGGCAAAATAACTAGTTGTAAGTCCTAGAGCGCAGAAAAGTCCTCCCACGAAAACCACCGTTCGACAGCTATACTTCTGGCAGAGCATACTCGTTACAGGAGCTGCGAAACGAAATATCGATTTAGCGCGCCTCGATTAAATATTATATCGACGCAAACGGACAAGGTCAGCTAATGACGGATCATAGGCGTACGTGACTTACGCTCCTTTCCCCCCCCCCCCCGAGAAACTGAGGTCACGGAGGCAGAGAAGCTTGAACGATGACTTACCAAGCGCTAAACATAGGCACGTCAGAATCGCTGGTATCCAAGACGCGACCGAGGCTGATGAGTCCTTGAAAGTCTCCATGACCTCAACATACAGTACACCATAGGACTTGACCAATCCGGCCACCCAGAACTGTACGAAGAAGGCGCCGAATACCACCACCCAACCGTAACCACCATCCAAAGGGACGTACGTGGTGTTCCGAGGTTTCTTGGTCTCGTTCCTTTGCCGGGATTTTCTTCTTTTCGGAGCTGCATACCTCACAGATCTGGATTAGCATTTAGCTGTTATTATATAAGCGAATAATTACGTGTAGATTTGACAAATGCAAAACCCTCGACTATGCCGTACAATAAATCTCATCGAATGCGACAATTTCTATTTTTCTTTTTTTAATCTTAACATATTTGAAAGCTGCTGAGAAAAGTTGAAAGATTATAATAATAATTTACAAAACAGAAACAATATGTAATGTAAATTTTACTCATGAGAGGAATCGTGTCTATAACGTATAACAAATGAATTAGCATAATTTAATGCACAAACTGAAGTTAAACGTATGTTTAACTGTT